CTGGAATTCCCATTCTTCTCAATGTTATCCATAATTTGTTATGATCCACACAATTGAATGCTTTTGCATAGTCAATAAAACAGAGGTAAACATATTACTGGTATTCTTTGCTTTCAGCCAAGATCCATCTGACATCAGCAATGATATCCCTCGTTCTGTATCCTCTTCTGAACCCAGCTTGCATTTCTGGAAGTTCTCTGTCAGTATACTGCTGTAACCATCATTGGCATATTATAAACTGCTGTTTAAAGTGAACAATTTGATGAGTTTTGATGTGTGTTGATCCCACCTGTGAAATTATCACCACAGTCAAGATAATGAACATATCCATCAACTCCCAAAATTCCTTTGTGCCCCTTGGTGATTCCTCTTTCCTGCTCCTCCCTCTTCCTAGGAACCATTGATTCCAGTTTCTAAAATTTTAGATAATTAGTAAAGAATGTCTGCCTTGTGCACTATCTGTATGGGGCATAGAGCCCTGGTGACACAGTGCTTAGGTGCTCTGCTGCATAATTGAAAGGTTTGATCCCATCAGCTACTTCACAGGAGAAAGAGGTGGCAGTCTGCTTTCATAAAGATTGCAGCCTGGGAGACCCTATGGGCAGTTCAGTTCCATCCTATAAAGTTACTTGAGTTGGAAATGATGGCAGTGAGTTTTTCTCTATTGGATCAAATTGACAACAGCAACTTGAAAGGTTGGATGAGAAGCTTGGGGGGCTGAGTATATGTTAAGGTGGAGGAGTAATTAGGAAAAGGAAAGTGAGAGATCACACAACTTGAAGAATGTGATCAGTCACTGAATTGTAAGTGTAGAAATTGTTAAAGTGGTGTATGTTTTGTATTGTATATTTTCACAGAAAAATAAATTACAAAATTTTATACAAGTAGAATCATAAATTATGTATTCTTTTTGTCTCCCTTCTTTCAGCATGATCTGAGATTCATCCATATTGTAGCATTTATCAGGACTTCATTTCTTTTTATGGCCGAGCAATATTCCCTTGTGTGGCTATATCACATTTTTCTTATCCTTTCATCTGTTGATGGACATTTTCATTTCAGCCTTTTGGCTATTGTGAATTGTGCTACAATGAACAATGTACAAGTCTCTGTATTCCTGCTTTCATTTCTTTTGGGTATATACCTAGGGTTGATAGTTCTTAGTTTAATGTTTTGAGGAATCACCAAAATCTTTTCCAGGGCAGCTGTACCATTTTACATTCCCAGCAATGGATAAGGTTTCCAGTTTCGCCACATCCTTCACCATACCTGTTCTTTTCCTTTTTTTTAAAAATTATTTTTTGCGTCCTAGCAATTTGACTGAGAGTGAAGTGGTATCTCATTGTAGTTTTGATTTACATCTCCCTAATGATTAATGAAAGAGCCCTGATGGAACAGTGGTCAAGTACTCAGCTGCTAACTGAGAGGTCAGCGTTTCAAATCCACTAGCCACTCCGTGGGAGAAAGATGTAGCATTCTGCTTCCCTAAAGATTTATAACATTGGAAACCCTATGAGACAGTTCTACTCTGTCCTATGGGGTGAATATGAGTTAAAATCACCTTGACAGTAATGGGTTTGGTTGGTTTTTTGGAATGACTAATAGTATTGAATATCTTTTTGTGTGCTTGTTGGCCATTTGTCTGATTGTCCAAATTTTTGTACAAATTGATTGGGTTTGGGTCTTTTTCCTGTTCATTTGTAGGAGTTCTTTATATATTCTGGATATTAATCCTTATCAAACATATAATTCCAAAAAATTTTCTCCTAAATAGTAGGCTGTCTCTTCACTTTGTTGATAAAGTCCTTTGGTAATGAGGCTCCATTTATCTATTTTGTCTTTTTTGCTGCTTGTGTTTTTGGTGTCATTAAATCACTTTTAATTACATAATTAATAAACAAATGTTTCTTCTTGTAAAAACATCAAAACATAATTGCGCGTAAATCCTTGAGGTTCATGTTTTCTAATCCCAGTCTTCTGTACCTCTTCCTGGAGGTTGCACCTTTTTCTTTACATTTACACAGATACATACAAATGTGCTGTATAAACTAGATAAATAGATATTTGATGTTTTCTTTTTACTTGATTTTTACTTAAATTTCTTTATGGTTTCATCTCTGTCCTATAGGCAGCTAAGAAAGAGCATGCAGCTATCATTCTCTGGAATACTACATCTTGGAAACAAGTGCAGAATTTAGTTTTCCACAGTTTGACTGTCACACAGATGGCCTTCTCACCTAACGACAAGTTCTTACTAGCTGTTTCCAGAGATCGGACCTGGTCATTGTGGAAAAGGCAGGACACGGTCTCACCTGAGCTAGGTAAAACAGTGTCTTATTGGGCCAAAAGGGTGTTAGTGCAACAAGTGTGCATCTGGTTTATGCACACTGAGCAGCTACTGGGTACGAGAAATGAAAACGATAGTGGGTTGAAGGGCAGAGCTTACAGTCAGGAAGCTTCTCAAGGCTTTGTGATCGCTGACCAAGGGTAACCTTATAAGTGTAGGTATTTTAAAATACAGAAAAACTTAGGATCACATGTAATCCTGTGATCTCTGAATAGACTTTCCTGTGATCATGTGGTTAGAATGACATATGTTCAGATACCACTGTTAAAAAAAAACGTATTTATAGAAATTTTTGATTTTGCAAATGTTTACATCAAAAACCAAATGCCACCACAAAACCAAATAGATGACATATTCTGCACTAGAAATTTATGGGACAGAAATAATGATACAGGTAAGGAAACTTGAGGTTGAGTGATTTCTTCTCCTTTCTGAATGACTTTATAAACATAATATTTTTAATTATGAAACTTAAAGGGAATGGTATCCTTTGTCTTTTGCCACCCAGCCTGTCACTTGGATAAATTGGGAAGGGCTTTTTAGGCATCTGCCTGTGGATTACATGATGCGTGGGCAGTGTTAACCCATAGATACCTGCATTCCTAGGTATAATGTGTGGCATAAGGAAAAGAAGAAAAGCCTTTTTTTTGGCATTTCCTTGGTTTCTTTTGATAGGTAAATTCTACAGTGTTGAGTGTTTATTAAAGTTTTATTTGTTTAATTTTGCCTTTTAATTTTCCATCAGTAACTTTCATACCCTGATCTTGTGATATTTCTAGTTCCTAAGTTTTTTTGTATTTTAAAGTAAACCAAGGAAATATAATACATCTTCAGCAGCTAGAACAGACTGTTTCATTTGCTTCAGTAATGATTTCGTAGCATGTATCATTTACGTTAAAAAAAGTTAAAAGTGATGCTAATGGTATAGTAATTTGTTGTATCTTTATGGATTGTGGGTTAATAGACCTTTCCTTCCTCACAAAAAAGGTACATTTTTTAAATTTAGTCTGTATAAAGGGTTAGAAGTCATCTTTCATTTAAATAATACAAGGAAAGTATTTTTGTTTGGTTTTACATTATTTAGGTGGTACATTAATCTTTTTTATAGCACAGTATGCAAATCTGTTTAGTTCATAAGTGAGGCTAAATTGCTTCAGGTTTCTTCACAGGCATAAACTGAATCTTTGAAAGTTGAATGTCTGGAGTTTGTCATCAGTGGAGAATTACTGGTAAATGTAAAAACATTCTTTACTAGGAAAATAATGCCCGGCATCTACTGGTGAGGAATCAGTCACCTGAACTGTCTGTTGCCAGAGTCAGCATTTACAAATTGATGGGTAAACACATGAATGGACATAGCATTTAAACGTAATCTTTCTAAAAGATACAAAAAATTAAAACAACTACTTCTCCGCTTTGTGAATGGTGCATCTATGTTTCTTTCAGAGCCTATTTTCAGTCTATTTGCCTTCACCAACAAAGTCACTGCTGTGCACAGTAGAATTATTTGGTCTTGTGATTGGAGTCCTGATGGCAAATATTTCTTCACAGGGAGTCGAGACAGAAAGGTAATTTTTTAAAAAAAACTTAGTGTTTTTTCAAATGTGAAAAAATAATATTATAGGGAAGTTTGAATAGAGTATAATCCTACCTCTGTCACAACATTTTTAATCAATTTATGTGTTCATTTGTGCTATTCATGTGCATTTGTTAAAAAGAAAATTGTTTTGAAATTCTCTAAGTCCATTTTAGTGAAATATCAAGGATGTGAAGAGAAGACCTTCCAGACACATGACCTTCATCAGATGGCCCTAGTGGCACAGTAGTAAACTTTCCTATAAGTGATTACTGTCTTTTTATTCAGTGGTAGGGGGGGAGCATGCAAGCTTTTAAAAAATTAAAACAAGTTAGACACTAGTATGTACTTGAACATGACCTTTGTCCTAGTTCTCTGGTAAAATGTCCACTTGCCTCCATAGTCATAGTTTTAATGATGTCCTTTCTATTTTCTGCATCTTCTCTAGACCAGAGATGGTGAGGCAGTTTGGCATTGCCTTTCCTCTCCCTGCCTTCTCCAGTCATAGACATGGTACAAATTACAGAAGCAGAGGGTACCACGGGTGTGATATCACTCAGGGTAAACCCTTAACTGTCAGCCTCTTAAACATCTTTGTGTACTGTTACTTCTGTTCAGTGTCTATTCATTTCTTCCCCTAGTCTTAATTTGCCTACAGTGTGCTAGGTGCTGAGGAAGCAGTACTGCTGCTGCCCTCAAGTCACACCCAGGGGAAGATGGCCCAGCTGTGGTTCCCAGGGATGTGTAGGGGATGATAAAGTTTCACTCTCTGCACACTCTTGGAGAAACACTTCTTTGTGCTCAGAGAAAACCTACTGTTGATCTTGCTTTGGGCTTGCATTTTGTAACTGTTATCTGCTTAGCTTTCCTCCCCATTTCTTTGTGGTCAGTCACATACCCTTGAGACATTAACTTCCAGGGATGCTTCATTTCTTTTGAGTGGGTTGTCATCACAGTTAACTACTCCTGACAGCTGTGCTGGTTCCCTGAGCCATGAGTGTTGTAAGGGGAGAGCTAGGGACTTGATTGGTGCCCATAAACTCTATGGCAACTTGTTAGGTAGGTACATGAGTTCCTCAGTGAGGACATGACTGATGAAATCTCACTGAATCAGAATGGATTTCATAAGAATGAGAGCATTCTGGACACTGTCTCTAGGCAGCGATAGTCCATCTTTGGCTAACACAGGTAGTTAGGTGAGGATAACACAGGTAGGTAGGTGAGGTCTCATAGTCTTGTGTTTTTTACTCTGTGGCCTCTCTGTAACACTTGAGATACTCTGAAGTCGTGGAATGTCATGTTGTTACCACCACTCATCTGTCAGTTTGACACACATCTCATGTTTTGTATTGACTATGGGATCAAAACCCTCTATAATGCATTGCTAGAAACTCCTCAGAGAAAGCTTTACAAAGTTTGTCTGTTTAGGTGGTTGTCTGGGGTGAATGTGACTCCAGTGCTGACTCCGTGGAGCATAGCATTGGCCCCTGCTCCTCGGTCCTGGACGTAGGTGGGGCTGTGACAGCTGTCAGGGTCTGCCCAGTGCTTAACTTCTCCCAACGGTGAGTCTCTGTGTGGGGCTTAGTTTTCTGTTTTCTTTAAGAGAACCACTTGGTTTCTCATTACGTAGTCCTCTTATAATTTAATTTGTGGGTTCTCTTAGCTTCTGAGTTGCTGGGTTTTTTTAATACTTATGCTTTTCATAAGAATTTTAAATTGGTAGAACTACATGAGTCAGAGTGGTGAAATAGAGAGTAGGAATGTGACTCATCACTTCCAAGTCCAGAATTGCAGTGTATTCTCTGTCGTAAGTGCTTTAGTAGAACTAGGGTCCTTGCAACCAGCCACAGAAACACTGGCTCGTGGGCTTGACTGGCAGAAGTCAGAGGAGAATCTGTGTGCACTCTGTCGAGAAGAGGCTCTTTGAGAGCATAGTAGAGGAAGGCACCGTGGCTGGGGCTGGAGCTTTCAGAGTTCCTTGTAATGCATGGCCAGTTGGGAACACCATGAAGAACTACTGTAGATGATGATGGAGATAACAGAAGTTCATGCTAAATTAATTGCTCTCTTCTTCTTCCCCCTTAAAAACAGGTATGTTATTGCAGTAGGATTAGAATGTGGAAAGATTTGTTTGTACAGCTGGAAAAAGACTGATCAAGTTCCAGAAATAAATGATTGGACCCACTGTATACAAACAAGTCAAAGGTATTTTCTTCCTATTTTTATTTCCATCAGATTAGATAGAAATTGTGGCGTTTTTAGCTGTGAATTTCATGCCACATTTGCATAGAGGGACAGAGCTGTCATCATGATTGCCAGTCCCATGGTTGCCTCTTGTAATTAATGTCTAATAGATGACATTTTGCTTTTAAAAGTTTGCTTGACCAAATTGTATGTGTGCAGAACATTGCCTTAGCAGACAATAGCCATTTGAGACAAAAGTGATTTTCATAAAGCTATAGGTTTTTGTTTTGCTTTGTTTTTATTGTGGTAAAAATACACACAACAAAATCTATACCAATTCAATAGTGTCCACTCAATGTATAACTCAGGGATATTGATTACATTCTTTATGTTGTGTAACCTTTATCATTATTCCATAAAGACATGTTTTAACAGTATCCTTTTAGAATTTATCTACAGTAGGTTCTTCATAAAATTTGATTCAGAATGTTGGTGATTCTTTCAAATGTTACAGATTATGTTTGGTAACCATATCTTGTATTTGAACACCTCAACTCATACCCCTAATGGAGCCAACTGTTGGATACCCCTGCAACCCATGACTGACTTTCGAGAACTCCCTAAGCCTGAGCTGGCTTAGAATGTGTGTCATTCACAATCCCACCTGTATAGACATAGAGATGATTTTTTAATATTTTTTACTCATTTTATTCTCAAAAATGTTTAAACTTTCAAAAAAGTCATTAACATCACTCTGTGTTGTATTTTCTTAGGATTCTGTAACCTTCATAGTATCAGCACTATTCAAAATAGAATTTCAAATACAATTCAGATGACAATGTCATGATGAGGATGATTGACTTAATGGAGAGACTTATGAACATAGGTCTTTTACAAAACATTTTATCCAGTTGAGCTTGTCTCCATTATCAGCAAAGATGTTAGTGCTCATTATAATTGTATTTATTAAAATGAGATTCTGCCTTTGTTGCTGCTGCCCTCATGGCTGCTCTCTTACCTCTGCGATCTTAGATTTGGTGGCAGAAGTAGTATGTGCTGCTGGCTGCTGAAGAGGAAACAACTCCAGTAGAATTCAGTGTCCTAGGCATTTGAGATTTTTTCTCTCCTTGGCCTCCCTTCTCTTTTCCTTCTTTTGCCTTGCCTAACCACAGTGCTTACTCTGCCTGTACTTGGTACAGACAATTCCTGTGGCCTGAGTGTGGGACACTGAATGGAAGCCCCTTAGAAAGCAAAGGAAGAGCATATGCACAGAATTTGAAGTTTTCATTTTGGGATTTTTTTTTTTTTAATTTAATTTAATAATATTTTATTGTGAGAGAGAATTTACACAGCAAGTTAGGCTCCACTTTAACAATTTTACACATATTGTTCTCCTGTAATATTTATAATGTGTCGGCATTATCATTATTGCCATTTTGTTTGTTCTGTTTTCAGTGATCTAGCTTCCCTTCCCTTCCTTTCGCTCTTACCTTTGTTTTTGGGTAAATGTTGATAGTTTGATTTCAGATATTCATTACTTGAGGCAGCACATTTCTGACAATTGATTCTGTTTATTTTGGAAGCCTATTATTATTCGGCTGAAGGGTGACCTGAAAAGATAGCTCCAATTTCATGTTCAAAGGTTATCTTAGGGCATAGTCTCAGGGATTCCTCTAGTGTCTTTTGGTCAAGTAGATCTGGGCTTCTTAAGGAATTTGAGTTCTGGTCTGCATTTTTCTTACATTTCATTTGCTACTACCTATTGTGTCCCTGGTCAGAACAGTCAGTACTGGTAGCCAGGTACTATCTAGTTCGTCTCGTGTCAGGATTGAAGAGGTTGTAGTTCATGTGGGCTACCAGTCCTTTTTTTTTTTTTAATTGTGATTTGGGTGAAGATTTACAGAGCAAAGTCACTTTCCATACAGCAATTTACATATACTTTGTCTCATGACATTGACCACAGTTTACCACTATTCAACAGCTCCCCTCCCACTTCCTCCCCACAGTTACCTCTTCCCAGTGTCCATCCCTCCATGAACTCCTGCTCCCTGAGCTGTCTCCCTGTGCATAGGCAGCCCTTCTTTCTCAATGATTGTTCT